CTGCTGGACGTATCTTGTGGAACATACCTTTCTGTAATGACAGAAGAAGCAAAGGCCAACGAGTCATCTGACCTTTTCTTCCACCCCCATGAACTTGGCAAAGAGGATTTTTGTCTTTGTCAAGAAGCTACCTAGCAGGCTACAAACTATGCTGAGTATTATGCATGCAGTCGTCTCCTCTTGGCTGAGAAGTACGATTGTCACAGTCTCACCCATGGAGCTGGGCAAGAAATACACACTGCAGCTGGATGCCAACGTTTTGTTGTAAACAGCGGACAGGATTGTGAGAGAGGAAAAAAGGCAAGTTACGCTGAGAAACTGCGTGATAACCAGGCAGTCCGGTGTCAGAGACTGGATCAGCCTGCTCCGTGTTCTTGAGAGACAAAGCACCCAACCTTTGCGAGTATGGTCTACAAATGGTGCAGCCTCTTGGGCTGGTGTTCCTTACCCATGCACTCTGTGAGGATGAGGAAGAGTCGATACATCTATATAGAAATACACATATTTATATACAAAATACACAACTTATGTAAAGGAAAATGTTGCTAGAGGCCAAACAGGAAACCCTGGGGAGTATTTTCAAGGCAAACCAAGTAACTTGGGAAGTCTGCTGCACTAACATTTGTTAAACTTTGAAAACATTTGTCCTCAATATTTGCCTATGCACACTGAACATGAGGTACGCTTTACCCTTAAATAGCATATATTTTAATCCCACCATGCAGAGAACGGGAATCCTGCTAAAATAAGGGTATTTTCTTGTATTACACTGTTGTAACAACAAACACTGTCATCATTTGAAACAAAGCTTGGTTCTAGAGGCAGAAGTCCAGTTTAGGGGAGAATAAATAGCTCTACCTGATGCACCAGGTCATCAGAACTGGCAGGCATTTCAGATATTCCCAAAGGGGGTGCACAAACACTTTAACCAGGTCTGTCAACGCTTACCTGCCTCAGCCCACTGTGAAGCTCTAAGCAAAACACAGTGTATCGCGGCAAAGACGGGCCGTGAGCCACGTGTACTTGAACTGCACACCAGGCAAATGGGGAGGGTGGGAATTTCCTCCTGCTGGATCAACCCCTCGTCACTGAATTTGCACGTACTTCTTTTTGCAGAGCTGAATAGAGTAGCACAAAACCCACAAGCTGATTCAGTTGTTGCATGACTCTGTGATTTCACCTGTCCTGAAGGAATACAAAGGAAAAGACCAGTTACAAGTGCTATTTTTTAAATTAGAAGCTTTCTGGTGAATTCTGTATTACAAGAGTTCGTGCTTATGCAGCTTAACAGTTACATGGTTACACCCAATTCTTTACAAGGTCCCATGTCATTTGTCATCTGAAGCAATGTGAAGAGGAGGCAGACTATGTCGATGAGACTTTCAGGAGTGTACCAGGCATCTAGTTTATATCTCAGACCCTGTGAACGAACTCCTGCTTCCTGTGCCCCTGCTATTCTGTTCATCCTTCTCGGTTTAGATTGCACCCTCTACAGGCAAGGGTCGTTTGCTCCTGCACCTACACAGTGCTTACTCTGCTAGCTGTACAGAAGCACAAATAGCATCATCACCTGAAGGAACCTCCCTGAGTAAGGGTCACTTGTTCCTGTCAAGATATGAAAAAATAGGGGTGCTGTTTTAAAGTGGAAGGTTTTCTTTTCAAAACAGTAAAAAATCTTCCCGTACAAATAATCTCTCAAAGATAAGAGAAAAGAGAAGAGATCCTCAGCTGGGTCGCTTTGATCTCAGAATTGTTACC